ATGTTGACACATTAATCTTTGCATCAAGTTATTTTTCCTTAAGAATGTTTTTTTGTAGTTTCTTTATTTCCGATCACGATTTGTTCAATAGCTAGGTCAGTGTTGGTGACTGGAGCAGTCAGCCAACACCACAGATAGACTCTCGTTCTGCTAACTAGCTCATTCACCTGCTGATGAATTAGCCACGGACTGTTTACTGATTATCTTTGACAACTTAGCATGTGCTAACCCTCCGCCCTCTCATTCATACACGGTCGCGCTGTTTTGGTTCAGAAAGCAAACATGGCGACAACCAAAAAGCTGAATTTTAAACTTCAAACACAGTCAACGATGTAATGAATGATGGCTTGTTCATAATAGCCGTTTTCACATACGCACTCCGGATAATATCTAGATAATTACAGGAGGAACGCTCCGAGATTCTCCTGACCTAGCCGTTCACATATGCTCCTCACAGCGGGGGACTTTCCCTGTCAGAGGGGAGGGGGGATCGGGGGATTTCCTGAGGTAAGACGTGACGTAAAGAAACAACGCAGAAGTAGCGGCCGAAGCAACAGAGTCCGCTACACGACGTTATAATGAGAATATTAGCCTTTATATCAATGCTATGTGTAATCCAATAGAATGACAACATTCACAAAAGAGAGGAGAAAACATACTGACGAACAGAAAACATAATGCAGCCGTTTAATTACGTGCGGCAGTCACTGTATATAAACGTCTTTCTCTTTCTATTCGCTCAAGCTGAAATCTCCGGAGTATATGCTGCCGCGTTCAGACATCAGCTCAATCGGACTTTCTGCGTAAAAAATACTCGGGGTCTGGCCGGAGAAAAATGCGGCTGTTTGCGTTCACATATAGCCTAAAGAACCTCCGGGTAGCCAAATCTCTGGAGTTTTTCAGGAGATTTCCGTATGTGTGAAAAGGGTTCATTCTTTTTTTTAAAAGCTAGCCTTTGGAGAGAAGCTTGAATAAATACAGTTGTTTGTTTTCCCATCGATATTTAATCGATATGCCAGTTCTATTTAAAACGTAATGTTGTGTCTTCTTTCCATCAAATAATGAAATACAGATCACGGTTTTAAATAAGGACTGGGATCATTAAGGAGTCTTAATTATGGTATCAATAAAAAAGAACGATCCCTATCCCTCGTTTGAACTAAATAACCCAGGTGAAGTTTTCTGTATCTAATGGTTCATCGTTTATATTTGGAGCTGCTCGTTTATTATTCATGACAAACTGAGACCAACCGACAGGAGGGAGACACACAGGAGAGAGACAGACAGGAGAGAGACAGACAGGAGGGAGACACACAGGAGAGAGACAGACAGGAGAGAGACAGACAGGATAGAGACAGACAGGAGAAACAGACAGGAGAGAGACACACAGGAGAAACAGACAGGAGAGAGACACACAGGAGAAACAGACAGGAGAGAGACAGACAGGAGAAACAGACAGGAGAGAGACACACAGGAGAAACAGACAGGAGAGAGACAGACAGGAGAAACAGACAGGAGAGAGACACACAGGAGAAACAGACAGGAGAGAGACACACAGGAGAAACAGACAGGAGAGAGACAGACAGGAGAGAGACACACAGGAGAGAGACAGACAGGAGAGAGACACACAGGAGAGACAGACAGGAGAGAGACAGACAGGAGAGAGACAGACAGGAGAAACAGACAGGAGAAATAGAGAGGGGAAAGGAAGACGGGAGAGACAGACGGATAGGAGAGAGGTAGAAAGGAGAGCAAAAGACGAGAGAGAGAGACAGACAGAGATGTGGGAGAAATAGGCTGAGAACAGATAACCACTGAAAGAAACAAATGTAAGAAAAGAAAAAACAAAGTGATGGAGAGGAAGATGGAGAGTGACCAGAACATGCAGAGAGGAGAGAGTGAGTGCGGACAATCGAGGTAGACTTATCAGAGAGAGAGAGAGAGAGAGAGAGAGAGAGAGAGAGAGAGAGAACGAGTGAGAGAGGCCATCCCTTTGTTAGGAGACACAGCCGCAACAATTTACATGAGAGCCAAGCCTCCTGCGAGCTGATTGGTTCAGAGAGCCGCCCACCTTACCGCCACCCCCCTCCCTCCTACGCCACACAGCAGCCAATCAGGACGCAATACACACAAGGGGGGCCCCAGCCGGGCGAGCGAGGCTGTGCTGTGATAGTGTGAGGAGAGAGAGAGAGAGAGAGAGAGGGAGAGTTTGTGGTGTATTGAAGAGAGAGTGAGGGTTGACGGCAGAATAATTGATGAGGTGAGGAGACAAAGTGCTTGAGGGGCACCGTGTGTGTTTCGGTGTATATATGGAGAGAGAGCGTCCCCTGGTGGTGCTGCAGTTATATAAGCAAACATAGAACCTAACAGGCTGAGGCACAGAAATACAGTTACATATATTTATGTAAAGGTGAATGTCTTTGCACCATAATACACAAATACTGCAGAACAAGAACATTGCTTTGTAAACTTGTGTTCATGAACATCACCTTAAACTAAATGTAGTTTGTTTCATTCCACTTTATACTTATTTTTACGGAAGCCCGAAGAGGACATGCTTCAATACAATTTGTTTTACTCTAAATGTTCCTGTGCCAACAAGTACATTTCAGTTGTTTTCTTGATATCCGGACTTATTTAGGGTTTTCTTTTTTTCTTAGGATAACAGCGTCTCGTCAGGGAAAACCATTGTAGTAATTCCAAAAAAGTTAGATGAATAAGTCCAGATCATAAGAAAAAAAAAAGCAGTGTTATCTGGAGAAAATGGAATAGATGAGTGAAGATGCTGAAAAAAATAAAATAATTCATAATTACAGGAAAACAAGTTATTCAGAGGAAATCTGATAAAGAATTTGAAATCTTTAGAAAATGAGTCTCAGAGTCTCTGTTGATTTATATTTATTGATTTCTTACACGTTATAGTTTTAACTGTTTTAGTTTCTTTTTTCTGCCCAACTCTGTTACATTTTTGTCAGTGAAAGTGAAACCCTCCTGCTTCATGTTTCTCTCAGAGTATGTGGATTTAAATCAATAAATAGGATATTCTTTAATCCATTCTTTGTGTAACTGACAGATGCTGTTGATCATTTATTTCCTCCGTGTTAGTCAGCCAGGATGTTTGAAAATGTCGCTCTGAGTAGAACACAAGCTTTGGTGTGGCTCAGGTTTCCACATCTCTTTATTGTTGTGTTTTTTTTTCAGCTTTGGTGTTGTAAGATTGAAGAAACTCTTTGGCACGACTTATTTTAGAACAATATAATCTCTGTCATTTTAATGAATGATAGGATCAAAACTAAATCAGTCATCTTTTTCTTATGATTCTTGCAAACTCTTGCACACTGTCAACATTGCACAAGGACATTTGCAATGTTTCTGTGATGTAATCTTTGTCTCATTTCAGTAAAAAAAAAAAAAAAAAAAAAAAACTGTCGGGGCAGCTCAGTTTACCCTAACCCTGAGTCAAAAGTAATATCCACCTTATGACATCAAACATTTCACTTTGTTACCGTTCCTTTCTGCTGTTTCCTTTAGTTTTTGATCCGTAGCGAGTTCCTTGTTCTTGTGGTTAAAGTAATGCTGTAACCTTCAATCTACCACAAGGTCCTTACTTTATTTCAAAATAAAAGCAGGGTTGAATTTAAATAGCAAGTAAAGTACAATAAGCATTTTTTTAAATTCAATCATTTGACAGCCCTATTGGTTTTGCATCATAGAAAGTCAGTCAATCAGTGATTACATTTACATTTATGAGCCTTATCGCGGTTTTGATGATATTCAGGATAAACCTGGTGATTCAGTCAGCTGTCAGAAACCGGGCTAATGTTTGTTCCACCTGCTTCTTCCACATGTTAACTGTCAAACAAAGGGCCAAGCTCACACACATCACAAGCATAGCTTGCAGAAACTGGGCTAACGTGTAATAATGTAGCCACATTATCGTGTTTTCTTCTGGAGTTCTCCAGGTAGTAAATTCAGGTTTTTCAGAGTCACAATAAGGGCTTATCCTGTGTTCTGAAATCGGGATAAGCCATTAATGTTGCACCAGGAAGTATATGCCTGAAAACATTGCAACTTCCATTGCAGCTTTAAAAAAGAAAACCCCAAAGTAGTTTAAGGAGATAATAGTTCCAGAAAAAGACCCAAAAATCCTGAAGGGGCTGAATCATTTTCTAGTTTTGTTGTGTAACGTTTTGTTTGTCCTGAAAGAGCAGGTGAGACCAATCAGCTGATGTTCTGACAGGTGACCTGAGGGATCACACTGATGTACAGACAGACAGCTGTTCTGTGTTCAGGACTTTTCTGTGTGTGTGTGTGTGTGAGAGAGAGAGAGAGAGAGAGAGAGAGAGAGAGAGAACAAGAGTGAGGGTCGTATCTGGTCATGTTCAGTAAATCATCTCGTCCTGTCTTTGTACAGAAAAAAGAGAGGAAATCAATTGTGAACTGTGACACACACACACACACACACACACACACACACACACACACACACACACACACACACACACACACACACACTCAGTTTGTACATACAGTACAGCATCACTCTGGGCCATAATTGGCTCTTCTATTTGAGAGTTCAGAGAGATAATATTGACATAACACAGAGACAAGACTCCCTGGACTTCAAGCAAACATACAGTTGTCTTTTTTTGTGCACTAGCGCCATCCTCAGGATAAAGTTGACATTTATTTTTAAAGTGCAGAGCACAGAAACAGGCGGAGGACATGTTGGTTTAGAGATGATGACATGCAGCAGAAATAAGGACGGTTAGCTTTGAGCCAAAAAAAAAGAAGACTCAGCGACTCAATGTGAAGATTTTCAAACAAGCTTTGGATATTAGAAAGTGTTTGTGTGCTGATGAAGTTCAGATCGATCAAAAATTTCAGAATATAATGAAAAATAATCAAAACTAAGCAGGAAGGAAAACGGGAAAAATCTCCTTTCACGTGTACCTCGTGCTCTGGTTTTTCACGTCGTTGTCTTTAATTTTTCTGCGCAGGTCGTCATCGGGAAGATGTTCGAGACCCAGAAGACGGTGGTGGAGAATTAACCCTCCACGGGGTTTCACGGGAGGGAGTGCTGTACCAGCAACCAACAGGAAGTGACATCAGAGGCTGGAGCCAATCACTGCCCATCATCATCATCATCACCACCAACAACAACAACAACTACCAACCAGCTTTCTTCTCCACCAAAACACGGTTTAATTTAAGTGACACTGGATGGAGGTGTGAGGTGCATTGTGGGGGATGTAGGACAGACCACAGCTGTGAAGTTTGTTTTTCGACTTTAGTTTCGGATGCACCGATCGGATTTCGAGGCTTATAAGATCACTCATCAATCTTTTTTCTTCACTAATGACTTTAAAAAAACAAGATTAAATGGTCAGATAATAAACTAATTCCATGTCAGTATGCTTCTGCTGCTAGATTGTTATTAGAATATCACAGAAACAAGCCAATAGTCACACACAAAAAGCTTTAAACAAAGTTTTTTGCGGTTTTGCTTTAAAGGACGACAAAAGTCTATAATGTTTTTGTGCTGTTTAAGTTATTATTTCTTCTCACATAGTATCATTTGACAGATTTTTGAGGCAGAATCATGGAGAGAAATATTGTAACTTTTAGTTTCAGCTCAGCTTTTCCGTGATGCCTCAGATATCTCCTAAATGATTCATCTCTTACACTTCTGTTTAAGCAGTTACTGTGGACGTTTCAGTTCGGATACGAGATGATTGTTTGAATCTGAATATTCAGAAATATTTGAAGTTTGTCATTTCCAAGAGTTTATGTCCTGATAAGTTCATAGAACATCCCTTAACTCAGAACTCAGGGTTTCATCTTTTTCTGTAAGAGGAGTGAGAAGAAAAAAAGATCAGAACAATATTCGGATTTCACATTTCTAGCTGTGTTCTAGTTTTTTCTTTTTTTTTGCAAACATATTCTTATTCAAATTAAACAAACTAGCTTACCAATTAAGGAAGAGTGTAGACCAACAACTCCATCAGTTTGTGGGGTTAAATGAAAACAGGGTCTGGTGTCTTCCATAGAGAACAACTTAATGGCTGTAAAGTGCTAATTTCCATCAAAGATTTCTTCAATTCCACATGTTGAGCAGTTGATTCTTGAATGAATGTTTCCCACTTTCAATCTCAGTTTATTAGCCTTCATTTAAACATTACAGGACTGACATAATAATATATTTAATGCTGTAATGTTACACTCCTTACAATCCTGTTGGAAACTGATCGGTGCATCCATTTTTTTTTTCTTTCTAGTGTTATTTTTGTATTGTAACGCACAAGTTATATATCCCAGTTCATGTAATTATGTGATATATTTGGCTATAAAGAACCTATGAAGAGCTAAACAAGAGCTGACTTTAAGAGTGTTTAATTCATTTCAAAGACCAGGTTATGTTTGACTGAGACACCAGCTACACATTTTTCTCTTTTACAGCAGTTTGCACACTCTGCCAACACACAAATATGATATATTTTGTCAAAGGAGAAAGGGGTAAACATGAAATCTTGACTCATGAAAATAAAACAGAGGAGAAGTTAATGAAGAAGCTGCAGATTTGTTTCATCTTTTGGTTTTTGGTGTTTTCCCAAGCTGCAACCTCAGATGTTGAAAAATTAAACCAATACAGAAGGGGACAAACCTGCAGTTCCCCCAGTGTCCACTAGAGGTTTGCTGCAAACGCCCTGGAGTCAAGTAAAAAATTAAAGAAACAGTTTTGGTCTTTATAGCTCAAATCTTTATTGGTATAAACTACAGCAGATGGATTTCTTTTTACAGCTTATCATTTTTTTTCTGTTATTAAGGCAAAGAGTTTAAGCATAAATCTGCGTAATTTGGGGTGTGTCTGGTTCGAGGCTTGTCACAACCAATTATTTGTGTGGTGGAATTCCGATTTATTTTATCTGCTCCTGATTGAGTTTGAGCCTCCCCAATCAGGTTGGAATCGAGGAAAACCTTCATTAGGCAATGAGAGCTCACAGACCGAGAAGCGTCACAAGCTGAATGTTGCATACTATCATAGCTCACAAACATGGCAGTGAACATAAACACATCTACGCCCTGAGCCAAGTGGAATATTAAAAAAGAAGTGCTGCTTGTGGAATTGTGGCAACAACACCAGTGCCTTTTATAATGTCTCATGAAAACACAGTAGAAACCTGCTGACCACGTCCATCGTCCTCCACATTTGTCATCGCCCATGTTTTTTAAAATCGGTTCAGATTGTAAAAGAAATGACTTTCATTCATCAGTTGGACCCAATGAAACACAAATAAATTATCATTAAATAATATCAGTAAAGTCCTGATATGTAGGACAGATCCAGAAGTGTGTGTGTGTGTACACGCTCAAACACATCAACAGCATGTGGTTGTAGAGAAGCTGCGTTTGGTTTTTGGTGGAGCAGGGTGAAGGTGAAGGAGGTGACTGACCCTAAAGGTAGCAGCAGCTGCTATTAATAGATTTTTTTTGTTGGTTTAAGGATGAGCACGCTGGCCCATTTACACACCGACACACAGTGAAATTCACATGTTGCTTCATCAGATATTGCTGTTTCATCAGACGGACACACTCACAGAGGATGCAACATGGAGTTTCTGCAGAGTCATACACGTGATACGTACAAGTCCAACCTTCACAGAAAGAAACTTTGGACTCAGTTTTGACCCTTTCTACTGGCCACTGGAAGTTTCTGTAGCCAGAAAGTGTTGGTTTAGAGATATAATTAAATTCAACATTGTACCACATTGGCAGAATGTACATTATGAAGTCCAAGGAGCTGTTGAAGGAGCCACGTTTTCAATTCAAGCCAACAGAATTTGATTAATATTTTCCTCAGACTGCAGAATCATAGGGGTCTTGGAGAGTCAAACTGATTCAAATTTAGCATTCATTTTAGATTAAACAGGTTTGTTTTTCTCACATTTAAACTCTTGGCTTTATGAGACAGAAAGAGGAAGTGTCCGACTTAAATCAAACTGCAACCTCCGGTGTTGAAAATTAAGCTAATGCGGAAGTATCAAAGACTGCAGTTATTTGCATGTCCACTTGAGGAAACTACAAAGACAATGTATCATGGCATTTAGGAGAGGAATTGTGCAGAATATCAAATATTTAAAATTAAAAAGATATCTGGTTACCCATTAACTACCGAAGAAGTGGAGAAGGTTTTTATGGCACAAATTCATTGCATTTAAAGAGACACACACCCAAAACGGAGCGTTCTGAGAGAGCTGGTTTATACAGGGTCACAAACCTCCTCTGGTGCTTGATTCACAATATATTTTGACCAAAGCACTGCAATGATGTTTCATTTAGACCACAGGGGACTGTTTAAAAATGGCTATAATATATCCTCTTTAAAGGCTTGGAGAGGTCAAAAAGCTCCAGCAACACTTCTAGTGTAAGGATCAACTTCATTAGACTGACGCGTTTCAGCTTGTGGCCTTCATCAGGGTCATCGGTCATACCCATTAGCTACCATCAGAGGACAATGGCCGTCATGTGAATATGATCAATTGGAAGCTTTGGTGACAGAGGCTTGTCTTCAATATTATTATATATTTCTAGCTTTACAGTTATTTTATCACATTTCCTGAATATAAGTCGTACTGGTATATGAGACTGAAGAGTGAGAGAATGAAACAAAGCTTTTGAAGTGTATTTATGTGTTCATCCAAGTTCACAACGGTCACTTTGTGTGCAGCTGTGTAGCTCTGTGTAGCTCTTTTTCACCATGTGGAGTTTGTAATCCTCCTAGCTACCTGTCCGCTAGTTAAACTCTCAGCCTAATGTCACGTTGACAGTTGTGAAGTACAGACCCAGAGTCTGCGAGTCTCTCTGCCCACTGACTTATGTGGTCACTTGTCTTTAACTGAGGAGTCTTTTCGATCAGACCAGCGCTCCACGAGCTTTCTTTACTGAACAGTATGCAACTATTTCCTTATAATGCACCATTGTGACCTCATAACGGAGAAAATATGGGAAAAAGTGGCGCCCCCAATCTGGTCTACAACGCTATCCCAGCAAATTTGATGCACTACACAATTAATGAGTACAAATTTTACAACATGACATGTGCAGTGTGCCAAGTTGGCGGTTGACAGCGCATGTTTCAGAATTTTATCCAGGTATATTGAAAAAAGGTATTAAATTGAATCTTATACACTGAAATGGTTATTGAGATAGGAGGCTGAGTACTCTATCACAAACTGAAGTTCCAGGTTTACCTGTAATCTTCCTTCATCACTCAGAGCCTCTCTTTCAGTGTTGACTGATCAAACAGATGTCGTCAGGTTAGTCAACAGGACTTCAGAACTTTAACCCTCATGTCAAGATGATTTCAACAGATAGACAGACAGGAGGACAGACCCATTAGGACCTGGCCGAGCTCACGTACAAGAAGAGATGTTTATCTGCTCTGAGTTTCACCTCACTATGATGATATATTCTCTACTTTGCTGCTACATCAGCGTCTGTTGTATTCGCCGGTTTGAATCTGTCCAATCGTATCCACTCCTAAACATACCATCATGCTGTCATTGGCTGGAGGAAGCATACAAGCATTCAAATCCAGGCAGAAGACAGGGGCTCTGCAGACACAGTCACCACAAAAACATTCAGACCTAAATCTCTGCAAATTTAAAAAGCAGAATTCAAGACGATCACAAGTTTGTTTCTTGTTTAAAAGCATGATTTATTAATTGAGATCAATTTATCACAAACTGCTATATGGAACACAATACCATGCTAAAACCCTTTCACAATACTTGTGTTTTACCTTATCTTTCAAAATTCTTAAACAAAAACTCCCAAAAGCAATTCTGTTTTGGGCTAAATCGAGAAATTTCCGCATCATGATACATTCATATCAAATTCAGCCATTTGTGTCCATCTAAATCTTGATGAAATTAAAATATTTTTTCACAGTTTATCTGATTAAGATTGATTTTTTTAAATCATTGTTAAAATGTTTATATGATGCAGTTTAAGGGAGGATTGTTCTGAAAGTTACCTCCTTATTACATCAAATAGCTCTTTCACAAAAACGTTTGTGCAGCCATGATGTTCGCTGGGATGACATAACTCAAGCAACTCTTTGGCTTCATCATATTTTCCATAAACCATGTGTCCATGTCCTCTGGAAGAAATTAAGTCCAGTGATCCAAGTGGTAGTTCCGAAAATATCTCAAAATGTCAGCTGTGTCCTTAAGAACAAGTTTTGGTGAGGCTGTTTAACATTCAAAGTACAGAAAAGGGAAAAAGGGGCTCATTCTGAGGCCAAAAGTGGGGAAAACCAGAGTTGGATCTGTGTTGTTCTTTTGAGAAAAACTATGTTATTAAATAAAATCTCTAGTCAAAAAAGACTCATCCTAAAATCACAGATTATACTTTTGTCAACAGATTAAAACGGCAGTATTTCTCTCTTCATTCAGCAGTCTTGAGGGATGGAGCGGTTTTTACGCGCGGTGGAGAGCTTTTACGCAAAGGTGTTAAGGTTTTCCGCGGCGGTCAGGTGGCGTGAAAAGCTGCGCTGACGAAAGGCGCAGAGCTGGGCATGCAGATGTACCTGAGGGTGTAGTTCTGCCCCTCGTTGTTGTCCCAGAACACCCCCTCCTCGTTCTTCAGGTAGACGGCGAGGTGCACGGCCGAGCTGGGGTCCATGAAGGGCGGCGTGTACACCGTGAAGTCGAAGCGCTCCCCCACAAAGCCCGGCCCATCCGCGGCCACGGGCAGAGCCTGCGAGTCCACGTGAGACAGCCAGTCGTTGAAGGTGTACCTCACCCCAACCTCGTTGTCCGTGCAGCCGGTGAAGACTCGGATCTGTCCCCGCACGTCGAACTGGGTGATGGTGACCCTCTCCAGGCACACGCGGAGCTGCTGGACTCTGCGCTCTGAGTCTCGCGGTTCCGGGAAGCAGCAGACCAGCCGGTCCGTGTCCAGGCTGGTCTTAAAGCTCTGACACAGGTCGTTCAGGAGGTCATGCTGCGGCGGGAAGCTCTTGTGTCGAGACAGAACTTTGCTCGGGATCTTCGGCTCCTCTAGAGAGCTGAAGTGTTTGACGCTAGCCAGGTTTAGACCCATTGAGTCCGCGAACTTCACGCGCTTCCTCACCTCACTCCCGGACACCCCGTCCAGGAGCTCCGCTGGGTAGGCGGGCAGAGACTGGGCTCTCCTCCTGTCTCTCATGAACTTCTCTAGACGAGAAGCGTCAACCTCGTCTTCCAGATCTTCTTCCTCCTCCTCCTCCTCCTCCTCGTCTTCCTCCAGGCCGTTCTCCGCGCTCTGTCCGAGGGATAGCGCCTCTCCCCCGGCCTGGCCCTGCACAGATGAGCGGGACATGGTGCCCGGCAGCCCGGCGGCCTGTGTGCTGTGGCTGCAGCGGCTCCACAGTCCGCTGTGCGGGACGGCTTGTATAGAGTAGACTCCCGCCCCCCTTCGGAGGGCAACGTGCGCCAACTCAGCGCGTGCAGTGTTCCCATCGTGCAGCTGCTGTCACAGAAACGCGCGCGCCGTCACGTCAGAAACATTAACTTTCACCTGATTGCGTGCAGCGAAAACAAAAACAAACAATGATAATAGGCTTCATACAAATAAAGTATGTGGAACAAATAATGAGATCGCAACAGCAAACGTATTTAACAAAATGTAAACTAGACTATAAAGCTGTGAAAATACAACACCTGTGAAAAATACAAATGTTCACATCTTAAAGGACCAGAATAGCTTACGACAAATAAGTCATCAGTAAATGTACAGCATTATTCCCAACTTTGATCATATTTACAAAGTTTTAGTTTTTGCACCTTTAAACTGTACTCTAACCCAAAGTGTGTCCTTGGTTCAGCAAAAACTGCAGCTGAAACTCTGATACTACATCAGCCAAATATAGATTATAAATAAAACAAACAAACAAAAAAAAGAATTCTCTGTTTACACAAATAAAAGTGCTGCACATTCACCTCCTCTTATTTACGAGTTACGAATAACATGGGTTGTCAGGAAAAATGACTTTTTCTTTCTGGATAATGTAAAAGGGAAAAGATGTTCTTGGATAAATATAATTTTTTTCTCTGTGGACGCTATATTTAAAAATGTTTATAACACTAAGCCAACAAGCGTCCCCGAATTCTTTGAGTTTCCCCTTAATCTGAAGGTCGAAATACAAATCAGTGAAATTATTCAACATAATAAGGTTTACATAAAGTGTTACCAACATGATTTATAACTTACGTGTCATTACTTTAAAGATAACTTTATTAGGATAAATAAAAGCAGCAAACAACACGTGGTTACATAACGCGAACGAGTGCGTCATACAAAACACAGTAAACAAATCCATGTCGTCATCTGGGACGTCGTGCTGACGTCACTGTGTGTCTGTGTAACCCATAGACTGTAAATATTACAGGGTAACCGAGTTGTAGAGGGGCTTCTTCTTCTTCTTCCACTTCTTCTTCTTCTTCTTCTTCTTTTTCTGCCTCTGCTTCTTGTATAATCAGAAACACTCATAAGGTATTTCCTGTAAACTCTGGACTTGCTTTCAGTCTCACAGTTCTCAAGAGGAGAGAGAGGACTGATGACATTTCAATTCTGTGAGTTCTCCTCTGTATAAAGGAACAAACGGAGCTTCACATAGGCTATCAAAACAGATTTGCAGATTCACTCATAAATTGAAAATAGATTAACAGCACCAATCATAATGAAAATTAAACGTGTAGCCCAATTATTTAGGTGGATGATTTTTATTTTATTTCTTTTTTTATTGGTGATTCGGTTTAGACTTCTGTTGTCCCCATGGGGAAGTTCTTTTTCACAGCACCGTTACTGTCCAACCAGAGAAATCCCACCAAAGAACATACAAACGCAAACAACCACTAGATGGCAGCATTTCTCGTGTTCCTGTTCTCCAGAGGTGTAGTCTATTACATTTTATTATGTAGTTAACATAATGACGAGTCATATCTGTCCCTCAGCTTCACCTGTACCTGTAGCCACACTCCTTCCTTTTGACACATCCTATCTGTGTGAGATGGTTTTTCTGAATCAGTCAGTCAGTCTCAGCTGCTGCCCAGACTTGATTAGATCTGTAGCACAACACAAGCTCACAGTAGTCAATGCAGTTATTGCAGGACTTTAAGTTTAAATCTTTATCACTTTGTCTGTTTTTAGGGAGCTGTTCATCTTCAGACTCAGGTTTAAAAAAATCAGCTTAAAGAAATGATTGTTGTCACATCTCAGGAAAGTTTCATGTTGCGGTATCACTTTGAATTGCTTCCTGTGTAAACTGTTTGTTAGTTTTTTTTCAGTTTGGTGCCACACTGAAGCTGCTATTCTGTACTTTTTGCAGACAATGTTTGAGATAAAGAGCGTGCATGATGGTGTGTTTAGTGTCTATTGATAGATGTTGATGTGTATGCTGAAGGCTTGAATTTTTCATCTGCCACAGAAGGGCCAGGCAGAAATAGTTTGGGAACCACTGACTTAATAAAAAACACATAGGCCTACAGATTGCATGTAGGACTACAAATACATACAAATAATTCTAATGGTGTAGGATGATCATTCAATGGATATAAACTTATAACATGACAAGGGAAAGGTTTAGGTTTTAATTTGCATAGTATAAGTTTCAGATTTACCATTTCTTACTCTTGTTAATTCATTAATCCCCCTCTGGATCAACCAAAACATTTCACTCTAACAATCAATCCTGTTGGTTCGCTCATTTGCTGGGGGGCGCTGCAGGGCTGTCTGTCAATTAGTGTAACCTCTAACACGGTTTGTTCCAGAGCAAAGTGGAGCGCCACACCTTCAACTCGGACAAACTTTCACCAGATGATTGGGCTCAAGAGAAATAACATTTTGACGTTTTTACAAACAGCACATTTTGATGAGATTTGGAGGTTGCACTTTTTTTTTATTCACTTGTCTCAATCACTTAATTTTAGATTAAGACATTTTATGATTTCAAGACATTTCTTTGATTCTTTGCTGCATAAAGAATAAGAACCAGGGCCTAGCTGTTCAAAAGTGACCCATCAGGATTAAAGCCATGGGATAGGAGTCATTCTGGAATTAGGGTTGTTCAAAAGAAAATAAGAAAAAATCAGTTAATCTCATCCTGGATTGAATCTGAGAAAACGTCCAGTAGCCTACGTATTAAAACTTTGAGTATGATGGAGATCACTTATATTAAAATTCAGGATTATCCTGACCTCAGCAGAGGGCTCGATTCAAAATTGGTCAAACAAAACAGAGTTTTTACAAAGCAGTTGATATTTGAAGTCATTTTTTAAAATATATTTTCTGTTTTGCATCAGAGACAAAGTGTCTCAAAGCAGTTTTTTAGGATCTTTCAATATGTATGGATTTTGGCGCCCCCCTGTGGAGAAAGTATGTAGTGAGGTCCCCTTTAGAGAATATCTAATCCAGATTTGGTCATCTTGAAAAAGAAAATCTGAACCTGGATCATGTTGAACCCACCCAAACTGAGCTGGATTATGTGAACATTGGTAGGAAAAAAGTGGATTACCAAATGTGGATAGTTTTTTTTATTTTTTTTATCAGGATTAAACCTTTTGAACAACCAGATGCTGGTGTCACAGGAGAGAGTGCAACTCAGTTTTCAGACCACTTCGAGTTTAATTACCTCTCAAAAAGACATTTTAAATGTACGGTAAGTGATTACTTTTGTCTCACGTTGAAATTCTGAAACCTCAAAACCGACTGTGGCTCAGCTTAACGTTGCTAAATCGTAAGCATGAACTTGTTGCTGCAATGGAGGCCGCTGATCATGGTCTACCTGTGTTCATTAGCTTGGAAAATGATGAAGTGTACAAGAAAAATCTCTCTCTCTAATTGTTAGATCTTAATCAGTTTCGATTTTCTCTGATAGACATTTCTGAAAAATACAAGAAAACTGAGCGTGAGACAAAATGTGAACAAATCAAATCTTTAACCAAACTATCCAAAGCGCTAATTTTAAAAATCAAAAACAAAAGTGAATCTGTAAAATTCTTTCAAATAAAAATCACCTGTAGGTTCATAGCAGGACACAGGTTTTTAAAAACTTCAAACATTTTCTTCAGGACATAATCAGAATGCATGTTATGAGCTGCTGATTGCATATTTATAAATCTACATTCAGGTACAAAGATATAAAAAGATACAAATAATTATACATCCACTGCATATCTTCAAGATTATATCACAGATTTGATAGAACATTCATATCTCAAAATGTCACAACAACATTAACGACTTCATTGATAAAATGCCATGTGATTGGTTTGTTGAACTGCATGAAATGAATCTTGGGTAATGTAGTGCTGTGACAGGGGAGCAGCAGTGTAGAGTTATGGATCTTAGAACAGATGTTTTAATCCTCTGATGCTGTCACCCTGAAGCAGCCAGTCGTCTGTTCCACTGCCAGTCTTTGCTGCCATTGGCCGGGAGAGCTGTCAATCAACATCGGGCTGTTTGACTGTACCACTTGTTGGTGACATTACAGCGACAGGTTTGATGATGTCACTCGCTCTCTTGGCTGTAGATGCGGTACAGCAATGTGGCAATGGCCGCTGCCAGAGCGGGAATCACCCAGGTAGACCACCAGCTGCAAGAGACAGACAGCTAGTTAAAAATATAACTAACTACCAACCAGTTAGACCATCAGCTGCAAGAGACAGACAGCTAGTTAAAAATGTAACTAACTACCAACCAATGTAGCTTTTTTAATATTTCACTCAATTTATAACCAACCAACCAGTTAGACACCAGTTCCAAGACAAGACAGCTAGTCAGAATATAACTGACACACTTACTAACCAACCAGTTAGACCAGCAGAGAGAAATGGGAAATTTAAATTTACCACGAATAGTTCTTATCTAGCTTTCTGTTCTAACAACTTAAAGCGCTCTTTAATGGGTCACACCTACCCATTCTCACACTGATGGCAGAGGTTTCTATGGAAAGTGTCCATCAGTATGAACTAATCCTGTTCACACGCACTCACATGCCGCCGCTGAAGAAGTGGGAGAAACTTGAGGTTAAGTGTCTTGCTCAGGGACACATCGGACATGAAGGCCGACTCTACCACTGACCCAGAGCCCCCCCCCCCCCCTTCTAATGGAGGCAGCTAGTGTGACTCTTATCTAACAAGCTCAGTAACTTAATCAGAAATAATTGTAATGGGTAGAGATAAGACACAGCTAGTAAACTAAGTCACTAACTAAACCTTGAAATTACATTTAGGCTTGACGACTGAAAAACAGCTCGGTAAATGTAACTGTAACCAAAATCAGTAACTCATGAGAAAATAGCTAACCACTAAATAACTCTGCAGCAGTTTTACATTCCATTACCTTTGTATGAAATGGCTCTCTGTTTGAATTTAACTATTTGTGTGTGTGTGTGTGTGTGTGTGTGTGTGTGTGTGTGTGTGTGTGTGTGTACCTGGGCTCGTCATACAAAGTGGTGACCAAAGGTGCCTGTAAAACACAGATGAAACACACAGTCAGACTACCAGTGGTTCAACAGGAGGACTCAATCAATCGTGTCAAAACACTAGATACTACATTTCCCATAATGCACCTGGCCCTCCCTCCTCGGTAGATATTCCGTTTTTTCAGACTCCAAAGCTTCAGTCACACACATGTGGCGACAATGCTGAGCTAACCCTGACGACATCACTGTGACATCATTCGTTGTTGTTTTTTTTTTTACCTCAGGTTTGGCGATTTTGTCTCTGTCCTCCTGCAGACAGACAGACATTTTAGGTTATAGGATGTCTTGTGCTGCATTCACACATTCTACATTACACATCCCTTCAGCGTTAATTCACACAGTCTCAGCCGGACACTGACTGACCGGGTGCAGCTCTCCTATAATCATGTCTTTGGCCATCTCTCTGGCGTCGGTGGAGTGTCCGACGTCCTCGAAGCTCTCTGTCGCGTCTCCTCCCGCCTGCTCCCTCAGCACCTCCTCTCCTCCAGGGTGCTAAGAGAAAAATGAAAAAACACACACACACATAACAGTTTTTAAATAATAATAATTATTATAATTTCTTAAGATATGCCAAAATATCTGTAACACAAAAATAACAGGCATTACATCTCCCTCCTATAGACGCCACAAACAATGTTATTTTACTGTTTTTAGAACTTGCTGCACTGAAATGTTAAACTTCCTGAGCATGAATTAAAAAAAATAACAACCATCTGAGCCGGTCAGGGACAAAGAAACACTTTTAGTGGACACACTTTGATCCATAGAGGGTTATGTTGCAGACATCACCGCCTGTTTCATGGCTTCTGTCTGAAACATCTACTTGAGCAATTCTGAAACTATTTGGACCTGTTAGTCAGTGAGACCTCAGAAAGTGTAAAAAAAAAAACAAAGAAAAAAAAACTGAAAAAACAGAGTCTTGATTGTAACTTTAAATTGGTCTGGAGTTATTCTATTTCATTCTTAATGTTGAAACATTACGAATGAAGAACAGAGTAAACAAGACATAAGTGTGACTCTCCATGACAGTGTTTTTGACAGGAACTATTTTCAGCGGTGGATGAATACAGATTCAGTGCTCTAGTGAGTATTTGGGGCAGCAGATGTGTGTGTGTGTGTTTGTGTGTGTGTGTCAAAATGAATAACAGTGTGTGTCCCTGTTTAATGAAGGGGTAAGTCACACAACAGTGCAACACTGAGGCTCATTGAAGCATTTTGTAACAATGGATCTCTGTTTCAGTTGGCTAACCAGAGGAACCTGTGAGCTCACACTGCATTGTCTGCGCCCCCTCCTCTCCTCAGTCAACGTGATTTAGAGCACTCCAAACATAACTCTTCAGCCACTTTTGTAAATAACAAAGATGGCTGACTTTGGTGTGGAACGTTTTCAATCTGCTATCGTTTCTGTGTGAAACAAAAATAATGGTTGTTAATGTTTTTCAACGGTATTGTGGCTGATAATAAAATCCAGCATTCCAGATGAAGGATGTTCATCTGTTTGATGCTGCATGATACAGTATTTTACTGCTTTAAACAGGTTTTCTTGCTGCCTGCTCGGCTCTCCTTTAACCCACTTCTCTCGCTCACTTCTCCTGATCAGCTGGGTGTCTCTTCTCAAGAGGCTGAAATCAATTATTTGTAACGTTATATCAAACTACAAGGTTGTCATGACACCAGAACTTTGATCTTTGATACCAAAGAAACAAAATACAATACAATACCACGGCAACAAAACCAGAAGTCCTGGGCACCTGATACTCGGGCAGGCAAACTCCTGCACACCGTCTAAATTGCACAAAAACATTGGCAACTCTTCTGTAAACATTGCAAATGCTTTTGTGCGATTGAGACAGTGTGCAGGAGTTTTCTTGTAACCTTTGATAGATTACTTCCTCACGTACCTACCTGTCGTATGACACGGATGTCGTTTCTTAAAATGTAGTTGTTTTCTGTATTATCAATCATTAAATTACAGAGATTGAATCGTCGTTTTTAATGTTTATTATTGTTGTATTTTTTTAGAGATCGGACAGTGGATAGAGTCAGAAATTGAGGTGAGAGAGAGATTGGAGCATTACATGCAGGAGCAGAGCCACTAGGTCGGATTCTAACCCGTACTGGCCGCTTGGAGGACCATGGCCTCTGTACATGGAGCGATTGTGTTGTTTTTAAACATTAGATAAAGTTGATTATTTATCCAGCCCTAGAAGTTGAGACGTATTATCTCAACTCAAATGTCCTTTAGGAAGTTTAAGGGCTTTTAACTGCTTCTTCTATTGGTCATAAGCGACTTTCACTGAGATTATTTGGTCAGACGTTAACACCCGTATTAAAACACACAGTTAGTGAATTATTACAGAAATGAAATGTCTGTAACCGCATTTTGTTAGACACACTGGAATCCAAACTCCAATCGTCCCTGACTAAACGTCAAAGTGCTCAGCTAATGATTTACAACAGCCCATACAAGTCCAGGTCTGCAGCATGCCCCAAGTGAACCATGAACTCTGTTTAGCTGAAGTATAACTACAGGATCCATGAGCGCCAAACGTTTCCAGAGTGAGGGAAAAAGGCTCCAAACTACAGGTGGAAACTGTTCACTGAAAGTCACTCTCAACTCTCAGATGTGAGGCTGCTGTGTGTTCAGCATCAACATTAGTGACAGACTTCTCAAGTAAACCTAACTCTGGAAAAAGAGTGACCTTACTGAAAACTGAGAAAACAGTTAGATAAATCGTCCACACCCTGAACTATGTACTGCATAAAAACAGTGAGTCACTCTCAGGGCTTGTGAGGTGAAAGGTCTGAGGTGTCATCATCAGGCTCTGTAATGTCTGCATTAATAATATGATTTATTATGCCACAAATGTCAAACTTGTCTGCAAGAAGGTGAACAAGTGGAGCAATACTACAGATATCATTTTGAATTAACCATAAGGGCAAATACTTTCATCTGGATTTAAAGGAAGCCTTTTGCTCCAGTCAAATTCAATAATGTTTCATACCTCTTTCACAGGTTTAAAGGGATTAAATAGAAACTGCAATGTCTGCAACTTACCACGTTTTACCCCCATGCTATAAAATATAATGACAAAAGATGAAAGCCGTTGCTGTGTGTTGCAAAAAGGATGATTGATCCAGTTGTTGTGTTTTTTTTTTTTTTGTAGATGGTTTCAAACAGAATAATGTAAAAAGATTTCTGTTGTTGCAACAAGCTGACATGTATACATTATCAGATATTAAATGAGCTTTCATGTCTATTTCTTTGTTAAATGTAAAGATGTTCCCCCTGGAGCCTTCCTAGGGCCACAGCATATAAAGTTTGTATTACATTTCTTTGAATTAAATCTGTGATTTTACCTTTAATTTAATTTAATTTACTCCTGCCAAATAATGTCACATTTTGAAACATACATTTCGATCTACCCATACATCAATTAAGGCTGTTTCTTTAACACAAAAAGGAAAGGTGTTTGTGTAGAGATCATTCTGAAATATGTGACTTTACCACAAATCTCATAAGTCTCAAAGTCATAATTTGAAAACAGATACTTTGGGCTTCCTGTGCATCAGTTTAAAATTGTTTTCAAATAATAAGAAAGCTGTTTGTATATATATTTCTATGCCTATGCATGAGATCTGACAACAGGTTCTGGTTTGTTTCCTGTAGTCTAGGATTTCCAAGCTTCCGCTGCGAAAAGAAAAAACCGTCCTCAGATTGACCTGAGCTCCTCACCTCCTCCAGGAACTTGGTGACATCGTAGACGGTGTTGTGGATGATGATCCACGTTGACTTGAACGAGTTCTGCTCCTCGATCTCGGACAGTCTGTAATATTTGACTCCATCGGGGCTCTTTTCGTCCTTTTCGCCCATTTTACGTCTCTGGTAACTTGGACAGTTTGACAGCAAAGCTCCGCTGAATGCCGACAGAAGCAGCTAAACAAGCCGTGTGAGGTTATATAATCCTGCAGAGCCTGTCAGGACCGTGACTCTGCACAAACACCGACATTTAACCCACTTTCTATCACCGAGAGTCCCAAGTTTCACAGTGCTCCAATTACTTCTGTCAATATACGGCAATACAGTCCGACAGATCCGGCTTGAGCTCACAAAACAAATGTTCTTCGATTTATTTCAAGACTGTATTTGTAATTAATGAGAATAAAGTTGTAAAAGGGCTATAAAAGTTGTATTCTTGTTATAAATGAATTATTTCTACTTTGTTCTGTAAATATTACAACTTGTTTCTTCTTATATTGCAACCCTTTTCTTGTGATAGGCTATAACAACTTCATGCTTTTTATCTTGGACCTTATTCTAGTACAGGGATGGGCAACTTTGGTCACGGCAAGGGCCACATTCAATTAATTCTCCCTGCCAAAGGGTTAAATTGTAGAGTACAAAAACTATCAATTATGAATCATTTAAAAAAAAAAAATCAATCATGTCTCAAATTTAACTCAACATATACCAGTGATCAAATATTTTATGGATGTATTTCTGGTTTTCATGATTTCATGGCAGATTTTGTCACATTTTCTTCATGTTTCCAATTCATTGATATGTACAAATTGACCTGAGGGCCACATTGAGGGTCGATGGGGGCCGCATGTGGTCCCCGGGCCGTCAGTTGCCCACCCCTGTTCTAGTAAATGTAAACTTTATTCTTTTTATATTACAACCTTATTCTTGTTACATTATGACCTCATTCTTTAATTCTCTGATCTTTTTTCTTCAATATGGCCGAATTTGATGAAACAATAAATTGGTGGATATAAATATTTTGGTATGCATATCAATTCCAAGCTTGGGAATAAGAATTTAAGAATAAGATGTAAAAAAAAGTAAAGACTAATGCCTTTATGAAATGTATTCCATTTTCTCACATATTTGTGTCTCAATAGGCGACTTGAAACAATTAAGATGACAAGATGACTTAAAAGCTGTTTGCATTAAATTATTTTCAATTTGATTGTTTTTTATTCAATCAGCCTTACATTTGAAATTTAAGAAAAAATAAAATACAAACATGAAATTGACTTATATATTATTAGGGCAAGGGAAATTGAAAAAAAAAAACAAAGCTGATATTTGGAATGAGAAACATTTCTTTTGAAGGTGTAACTTTTCAACTTTGTAACCTTTTAAACGACAAACGTTTCTGTCCAAACGCCAGTTTTAGTTTTATTTTGAAAGAAGATATCCGGTTAATGTGCCTTTATTTCTGGACTTTTCACGGAGCCTTAAGTTTTCCCCGCAAACCGACTGAGACCGCCCACACCGTCCTTCTAATGCTCCTATTGGTCATTCTGGTTCATGCGTATAATAGCGACTCTCTGATTGGTCCTCACTCCGTCAATCATGAGAAAGTTGTGGGCGAGGACAAGGCTAAAGTTCACTTCAGTTCAGCAACTTTCAAGGAACAAGCTTCTCACGCAAGGACCTCCCTGGCGTGTCACGTATTTCACGCAACACGGATTTAATTGCCCTTTTTTGCACATTTGTTCAGCCACAGCTGGAGGTCTTGTTGGGCTCTTCATACACAGTTGACTCTTAAACGTGTATAATATTGACAAAAACGTTTGAGTTGAAAAAAACCTTCCTTGTTTGATTGGCGGGAGAGCTGCAAATCAGAGATTGTCTATTGCCACACTTTTCACTCCACTGAGAAAAAAACACCTACTGTAACTGTCAGGGTAAAACCATAGACTGTACATATTGGGTCAAACTTGTAAATATAACAAACTACTTATACACATATGTGAAGTGTTCCTTGTTATATTAACGGGAGTAAATGTCCAAAAGTACAACTTTGTATCTAGCAATTTATGGTAAGGAGACCAATAAACAAAGCCTGAATAAAGTGTGTAAACTTGACTTTTCTCTGATAAACATAAATTAGTTTTTAAAATAACATTCATGTTAAAGAAAAAAATCATGAAACATATAGTGCCATTATCAATTCAAATCTTAACATTACTGTATTGTCTTTTTTATCCTACGACAATTTTAAATATTTCCCTCTTATGTATTTATTTTAATATATTGTTGCTTTTATGTGTCGTATTTTCTTTTATTTTCTTTTTATACATATTTTTAAATTCTTGTTGTGCATTAGTCTCTCAGTGATTTTATCAATGATTTTATAAACTACTTTTTGTCAACAACTTTTCTGCACTCTTGTTAAGCACTTTGAACTGCAATTTAATTTGTCTGAAAGGTGCTATATAAATAAAGTTTGTTTGATTGATTGATTGATTGATTGATTAAGGTATCAAATCAAATTTATTACCAAAAAAGGAAAACACAAAACTTTGTGTAATTCATCATACAGTAGTTACCTCATAATGAAACAGTATGTGTTTGGGTTTGTGGAAATAGAAACGGAGTGAGATGTCTTCTCTCTTCTCCGGTATAATGTTTTTCGATAGAACGGCACAATGAATGAATTATTCCTTAAGACGGTTTCTTTCATTGAATAATTGACAGGAAATAAATTCTTATCATCAATTATACCTCATCACGGGTTAGTGTACATCTAGGTGTAAGTCTAATTAGCTTATCTTACCTGTGAGTGTTTTGGGGTCAAGAGACATGAAGAGGTGAGTGAGGCACTATTAAAGCTTTTACTTAAAATGATGTATTCGCTGATTTTATTGTAGATTTTTTTTTCTTCAGGTGTCTGTCAGGTTTTTATTGGTCTTTATGAATTGTACAACGGTAATGTTTAAAAAATAAATAAAAATACATGAACAACATAAAGATTTAATGGCCATTATCAGCCTCAAGAGTGCAAAGTTGTCAATTCAACATATTCACAGTATTTCAGTCACTAGTATTTATTAAAAAACGGGATCAAATGGCAGCATCTTATTTGATAAAACCTGTAACTATCTGTCAGTGTAACATATGGCTCTCTGTGTTGGTGCAGGACCAGTGGAGGTGTACATCAGTCCATGTTTTTCCTTGAGCTTCCAGACCTGAAGAAGCTCTGCTGTGTCAGTCTGACTCTGCAGGAGGAAGAAGGCGAGGAGCCCAGGAGCAAACAGATCAAGACCTGCAGGTGACAGCCAAAGGAGGAAACTCTTAACATGTGCCCTAAAATAATTAATTAAAGGAACACAAAGGCTTTTATTTGCTTACAATACGGCAGACTCCCCTTTCAAAAACTGTCATTTCACTTTGTAGAACAGGGGTTGCTGTTCTACCACTGCTTAACAATCCCAAATTATCCTCATGTTGACCCTTCATGTTGTCACACTGTGAAACCTATAGAATAATGTTGCATTATTTGTGGCTCAAAATAACCCTTATTTATCTTATACTGGCGGTAGTAGAAAAAAAACAACTAATTTCAGCCTCTGCCTGAAATGGTTAGTTTCAGCTGCTGTCTCTTTAAGGCCCCAATCCAGTGCCTACTTTCTTCTGATTGGCCAGTTTTCTGAAGCCTTCCTTCCGGATGGCAAAACACTTAATGATCTGAAAATTGCCCATATTTAGTATGGCCATCCAGCATTGTAACACCGTATGTGAGTTAAAATGGAAATCAGCCTAACAGGTTAACGTTAAATGTAATCTTTTTTTCTGTTGTTTTGTGATACAAAATTATTCTTTTGGATCCAAGCTAACCATCTAAACATTAAAGTAGCACAATAACAGAAATGCACGTACAGATCCAGGCAGCAATAGACCAACAACTCCTTCGCTATGTGAGCTAGAATTGCTTTTTTTGTCAGAGGAGTCTGGTGGCTTTGAAGGGAGTGATGGAACAGCTGTTTCTGGTTAAATACGTTAAGTTGTTACCATTGTAACTTAACTATACTATAAGTTAAGAGTTCCAAATATGTATAGCCCATGATGCCCGTAATTATGGAAAAAAAGAATGAAATAGATTTAAACTTTTGAAAGAAAAGGAACATTTTTCACTGAAGTGAATGTGGTGTAAAAGTCCCGGACAGATGTGAAGATTTGAAGGGACTTTTGAAGCATTGAAAGAGTTTATTCAAAGATGAGAGCTTGACTTGAGGTTTAACCAGCTCTAGTATTATTTAGAATGATATTGGTCTTTGTCCGTGTCTGTGTTGAACACAAAATCAAGTTTGACTATATCCTGAACTTGAACCCAGCATTCCTGTGCTTGTGCCCTTGACCTCTCTGTGTTTGTCCACAGAGAGTTGGTGCTGCTGTACTCTGATGTGGTGGCCTCCCCCGCTCTGGACTCCTTCACTGAGATAACAGCGGTCATGGCTGTAAGAAACACACACACACACACACACACACACACACTAGGGGTGTGACAAAGTATTTATACCTATAATGTCATCAGTACTTAATGAGTCCTTGTGGTGATGCTTATAACATTAATTGACGTGTGCAGAAGTTAATTGGCTGAAGAAGAAGTTGACCGTTGGATTAGACTAGAAGTAGACAACTTTTAAAATAAAGTCACAAAAAAAAAGCTGCTCCAACTCCAACGAGAGAATAGGAGGAGGATGAACTCCATCAAACAGAGAGAGTTTTACTCACCTGTGATAGGTGAACTTTCAGGGCATGTAGTCCTACTATACCTAATCTACATGAGCTACTCTCTTGAAGTATTTATGGATTTATTCAGTAATGTATACATTTGTAATTATGAGAGGGAATTTACCTCCATACAACATGCTCCATACAGAATGATAACCATCTACAAACACAGGTATCAAATCAGCCAACCCTCCCCTACTGAAACAAATCCAAATCGATGGATCCCCTGAGGTTTCATTTGGCAGATGGAAGTAACTTTTTAATTTTCCTTAGTCTTACACCACTACTGTTTCAGCTGAGCCTTTACATACCGTCATCTTCACCTCTCCCTGTAGAACACACTGTTTTTTTTGTTTTTTGGTATTCACTGTAGTTAAAGATCTGAGGACTTCCTCCACTGCAGGGCTCAGAGACGTGTTCGCGTGCCGACACTTCCCAAGCATAGACACGCAGGCAAAACATAGTTGGTCTAAATTCCAAGCATTCCATGTGTATTTGTCTACACACACACACACACACATACACACACACACACAAGAAGAAAAAGTCTCATTGTCAGCTCTGTGACATAATAATGCCTCCTTCTCACGCTACTCTCATTCACTGTAATTTATGTTCCTACCTGATCAGTTTATCCTGCCACAGCTGCACTGAGCATGTGCAGCTACCATATGTTGGGATTTGATTTGTTTGGACTGGCAGATTTTTGGTTACTCAAAAGCAATTTTTATGCACTTGGGAGACAGTTATTTCAATATAAAACATGACTGTAGCAGCATTAAACATTTTCATTAGTCTACAATTAGTCTACATTCAGGAAGTCTTTATTACTGTTAATTTCATCTGATGTGAACAAATCCATTCAGCACCTTTGAATAATAAATGCTTTGAAATAACAGCCTCCTCTTTCCTCATGTTGTCTCTTTTCTCTGCAGGTCCCGTTTTACCAAAAAGGCATCCTGCAGGTGTTTGGAAGAAGACGCAGTCTGAAGGTTGGAAGAAATGACGAATAAATGGAGTTTGAGTTTTTGATTCAGACTCAAATATAAGATTTTAAACCAGTGGATTGTGTGTGTGTGTGTGTGTGTATGTGTGTGTGTGTGTGTGTGTGTGTGTGTGTGTGTGTGTGTGTAGCTGGGCTCTCCTCAGTGTGTGTTTCCAGGCGTCCTGCAGGCCTGTCTGTCCTACTCTCTGGTCACAAGACTGGCTCCCAGGTGGAATAAAGCAGGACTCTACCTTGTCAGCGGTATGTGTGTGTTCATGTTGTCTAAACCTGCTGCATGCAAACATTTACATTTTTGTGGTGTTTCATATTTGGGGAAATAGATTGTCAAAACTGAGAACTTGATGTTACATTTGAAGTCCTCACTGATACTTCTTTCTTGCTTTAAGACATGGAGCCCTATATGAAGGCGTAAAGCATGTTGTCTAAAGCATGAGGCGTAAAGTACATTTTGGGTGTGTTTGACTACATTTTGTTCGTAACGTGATGCTCATTCTAAGACTCTGAGCGCAGAGAGGTGGGAATATACGTCATTTGATTATACATCGGTGTGTTTTAGACGTAACACAAATAGACTTGCTTGGCTGCAGACAGTTTTTTAAACAGTATTTCCTTTGAGTAAAGTAGTTCAGATATTTATGAGTTATGGCGGCTGGGTGATACCAATGAGTTCACATTAATCAGCCGTTCAGAAGCACTGCAGCTTTATATAACAACACTACGATTACCATCTGTTGTCAGTCAAATATTAACAGCTGGTCAGTGTGTTGCAGTAGGCTGTAGGTGTGTGTGTGTGTGTGTGTGTGTGTGTGTGTGTGTGTGTGTGTGTGTTGCAACAGTCAGTAAGGCCTTCACCTTGGACACAGTCGGACATAAAATAGATGTGTGTGTGTGTGTGTGTTTGTTTGTTTGTGTGTGTGTGTGTGTTTGCTGTAACAAATTGTAGCTGTAAAAAATAACAACATTAACATTTAAGTTTAACGAGTCCAACATTTAAATCTATTTCTTTATCAGAGTTTGAAGGAAAAACATTTAGACAAAAATCTCTTTGTTTTATGATCTTTTGTAACAAAAGCAGTACGTTTTATTCAAACTTTCCAAACACAAAATAATCCAAACAAACTAACAGGTCAAGGTAGCAGCAGACAATCATCTCCTGTGTTCTGGGGTAAAATACCTGTTTTTATCAATGGAGTCTGGTGTGTTTAGAGAGTGATGTAACAGCTGTTTGTGGTTAAATAAATCATCTTCCTCTGTTACAAAAAGGTCTGTCTCTGTCGGGATCATTTCTTTAATGTCTTCAGACACTTGGACGAACAATCTGAGTCGTCAGGGACACAAACAACAACTTTAAGTGGACACCCTTTGCAGGGATTATATTGCAACCATTACAGCCTGATTCACAACCATAGGCTAAATAAATCTGAGCACTGAGTCAATGAGACCCTAAACTACAGAGAATAAAATAGGGCCCAGGATAAAAAGTAATAGATTTTCCCTTTAAAAGTTGAAAAGTTGAGGTGCTGTTCTTGCAGCTGTGGCTCATGAAATTCTGAAGTTGATATTTATTTTAACGTTGTGTTTTTTTCTCAGGAAGAGACTTTCTGACTGACGGGGGGAGGCTCAACGCTGTCAGTAAGTTTCTTAGTGACTCGGTAATCTCTTGCACTCCTTATCTTTAAAGTTTTATTATTCTACTTTGAACCAGAGCTGCAGATTACAGGTTAATATCAGAGGATGTGTGTTTGTGTTAGTGATTTGATCAAGCAGTATACTCGCTAAGATGTAATGTCCGTTTCCGATTGGCTGCATGTTGGCTGTTTGACGGCTGCCGTGCCTCACTGCTCTGGATCGCACCATCATGGTGTTAACACAGGCCGTGTGTTGTCTGTGTGTTGACTGTGGGACAGCTGCATCTCCCTGAACTGTATATTTATTTACATTTCTTTTCTAAGTTACATTTCCTTGTCTTGAATTCTATTAAATACTATTTCAACCTATCCGGCTGTTTGCAACGTGCATGGATTATTTAGAGCGTCTTTATTCAAGATTCCGTTTTGTACTTATCAGAAAACGATCTCATATACATTATTGACGAGCCCCTAATTTATTTAGAGCAAAAACAACGAATGAATCAGAATAACAGGGAGAGTATTGTGTTTGATTGAATTATTCATATAGACTGAATTAAAAGTGATTTATGACTACATGTTTAGAAGTTGTTTTTGTGCCTTATCCAGGGGTGCTTTCAGTTTTCTTTTAAACACGTTTCGAGCGTTAGGCTCATCAATTAACAATCTTACTAACATAATTAACAGGTCCTCACTTTACATAGAGGGCAAAACATCTCTCCAAGCAGAGAGTGAGAAAAGAAGATGGGGAGAGAGAGAGAGTGATCATACCAGAAGAAACATCACTGTTAACCTGGTGTTTATATATTCATTATTCATTATTCATTATATATTTATTATTATTATTATTATTATTATTAAGTGTCCTTAAAGGTTAGCCTACCTGTTTCACCGCTTTACTGTAAAATAATAATAATCATAAAACAGGTAGGCTAGCCTTTAAGTAACCAATAAGTTACCTCAGGAGTAACTTGATAAGAAAACAACTGAAGAACTTCAGTTTGAAGATCACTTTGCATTATATATCATGTTCTAATAGAAGGTCACTGTATCGCTCTACATATCATTTTACTGTGTATTCTGTCAGCAAAGCTGCTCACTCCGGCAGTGTGAACACTCTGACCTTCCGAGGAGGTTGGGCACATGGAGTCTGAGTGGTCCATGCTGAGGTGATAACTTAAGAACCTGCTGGTTGAGGAAGCAGTCAGGTTGAAGAACGAAGCGCTTGAGGCCTTGGCTTGCTCAGGGTTTCTGGAAGCAGACAGTCAGGCGACTCAGGAGGGAACGGCAGGGATTGGCTCAGGTCATCCCAGCAGGAGTAGAGAACTGCTGACCTGGACTGGGGATATAGCTGAGTGGTTGAAGGAACACTTTGAGGAACTCATAAACCCAACTAACACGTCCTCTGATGAGAAAGCTGATGACCCAGGGGAACCCTCTTTTATATCCTAGGCAGAGGTCGCTGAGGTAGTTAAAAAGCTCCTCAGTCGGGGCGCCGCTAGCATAGTGGTAGGTGCGCGCCCCATGTATGGAGGCTTTGGACCTCTGGGGGAGGCAGCCCGGGTTCCAGTCCGACCTGTGGCTCTGACTCTTATCGACTATCCTATCTCTACAATAAAGGCACCAAAAGCCCAAAAATAATTCTTAATATAAAAAGCTCCTCAGTGGTAGGGCACCGGATGAGACTCGCCCTGAGGTGCTGAAATCACCATTCATCTGATCTGAAACCCTATAAGAGATGTTTTCTGTGTGTGTCAGGCATGGAGCTGAGCACCAGTGAGGGACAACTGGGCATCAGTATAGACGCCAACACAGTCCGACTGCCTCCAACCACAGTGAGAGAACAACAACTATTTATTCTCTTACACCCCACATATTGTTATTTTTCTTCAATGAATTTTGTGTATTTTTGATCTTGGGACATGTGTTTACATATTTTGGGGTTGAGTTGACAAAAGTGTTTGTTGATCAAAGTTTGTGCACTAAACCACCAAGTCATTACATCGCTCTTTTCAGAGTCACCAGCCTCCATTGACAAAAACAGTGATTTGACCTTAAGGATTGATGGGTGCCCTGTGCAGGGTCTACTGCTGGCCCGAACTGTTTGTTTGTTTGTGAGGTTTTTTTTTTTATGACTTTGCTGTTTTTAAATAGACAAATGAACAAACTAACACATGCAGGCTGCGTTTTATGGATTGATTATCTGTTCTGAAAGGATAAAATCCTAGTTTTCGTTTTGGAGTCTAGTGGATTTGAAGACCAAAATGTGCAATTCATTTTTCAGAAAAAGTAACCAACCTCCCCTTTGACTTTTGTCTGCACCTTTCACATTTACATAACTCACAAAGCAAATGTTTGTAGCTCTTGAGAAAATAACCATACTCTTCTTTCCCAGTCCTGTTTAAAGCACTGGATGTTCTTCGACCAGATAATCAGGGTATTTACTGTTTGTGTGTTTACTTTTTGTGCAGCTGCAGGACTTTGACCTCCCCCTGTTAGTGCTGAGGAGGTTCTGCAGTGATCCTGACTCCGTCCTCAACCCCACCTCCACAGGGGGAGCCATCTGGTGTCACGTCCTGCCCAGGTAGGACAGCTCCACCTGCTGGACACAAAGCAAACCGTTATCTGTGTGGATTGTTTTTATAATGGATACATATACTTCTCCGATCACTTGATAGTCAGCCTATATTTGAGATCACATCCTGCCTCATGTCCTCCCTGATCTCACCACAAGGATCCTTTTCTCCTGTTAGCATGAAGCTTGCACCGCTCAACTTTTGATTTTTGACATTTTCCTATAAAATATTTATGCAGAGTGCAGAGTATGAGGATCATTTAAAACTCTTCAACCTTATTCTTTACTTTACTTCCTCTAACCTTTCCAAAAACAGATTCCACACTCCCCCATAGCTCATCAATCCTCTCTTATCAGTTTGGTTCAAAGGTTATTTTCAATTCTATAACGACCAAATGCAAAATTCTCATCAGACGAGGGATTAAAGACAGGTGATGGGGAAGTCCTTTAATTTATCCTTTAGAATGTGGTCTCCTCTAATTGTATTGAACTAATTATCTGTTTGATTTTGTAATACATAATACAAAACAAAACAGGTAATGCTTTTAACAGGAGTCCTCTGTGAAGGGAGGCCGGTGACTGCTCAGCTGATCGTGCCGTTTTTGATGTTTTTAAGAGCCAAAAATTCTGGGACTTGTTGGGTAAAAACAACACCAAAGATAAGATGCTTTATTCAGACTGATGAGCCAGAAGCAGTGTGTGTAATACTGACTCTGAGCAGCAGAGGGAGCTGCAGCTCTTTTAAACACAAGGCTGAATCAGAAGCAAAGGCAGTGTTTATTCTCTTTTTTAATACTCTGATGTTATTCTATTATTTCATATATATATATATATATATGTGTGTGTTTGTGTGTGTTTGTGTTTTTAGTATGAAGAAAGGTCAGATCATCACCATCAGCCGCCAGTTGCCCAAAGACGGACCTTTCAGGACCTACAGCGACCTGCAGAGTCACTGGAACCACCTGGTACCACTCATATTTCTTATTTGTCATTCTTATTCTTATAAAAAAAATATAATTTTATAATTTTATAATTTAATATAATTTTTTTTTTTTTTTTTTGCTGCTTATTTGATCATAGCACTGGTCTTTGTGAATAAGAAGGTATTTGCAACAAGGCTTATTTGTATAGAAAGGGGACAATTTGAAATGTTTGAATATTCCCTAATTTATGTACCGTACATGCGTTTGGACAGGCACACCCTTTGTGTGCTTTGTGGATCGCACGCTTTCATTTCCTCTTATTTCTACAGGTTCAGCAGAACAATCCTTTTGTGAATCAGGCCCTAAGTGTGTGTGTGTCTCTGTCTGTGTGTACCTGTGTGTCTGTGTGTGTGTGTGTGTGTGTGTGTGTGTGTGTGTGTGTGTGTGTGTGTGTGCGTGTGTGTTTTTCAGTACGGTTACAGACTCCCTGAGCTCGCAGACGAAGAGATGGTGTACTGCAGCATCTACTTCAGACTGGTGGGAGAGAGACTCTTCACGTATCCTGAAACACTGAACTCATAACATAAACATTTATTGTTTAATGTGATTAAACTGATCACCTCCAAAATAAGAAAAAAATGTTGACCAAATTTAGAGTAGTCATGAATTATTGTAACGGTTAAATCTGATTTGACAAAAAAAAAAATCCTTCAGACAAGAAATACTATAACCTGCAGGACCTTTTTATTTCTTTGTTTATGTATTTATTCTTTCAAATATTGAAGAAATAAGACGTAATAAATAAGAAAATAATGAGAGTGACTTAAATCAGGACTTCTTTCTTTGAAGTTTATTATTAAAATATAAATCTAATGGAGTTAAAGCTGCAGTGTGTGAGCCTGACGGCTGGAATCGGTCTGCTCTCAGAAGTATTTATGATTTTATGTCGATGTTGTTGCTTTAACCTCCACCCTGAGCAGCTACCCTCTGAGCTGTATCCGTCTTCAGCCTGTGCAGCCCTGCCCTCGCGTCAGCCTGCAGGGGGCGCTGGGCTCCTTCCTGTCTGACGTCAGCGAACGGCTGCAGAGTGTGTGTGGCTTTCCTGCACGACTGACCAACAAACCGTGTTATCGCACTGTCGGACTGTGCACAGCTGCCACAGTAAAGGTACACACTCGCACACACACACACACACACACACACACACACACACACACACAAGGAATACATTCAGGAAACAAGCTAAAGTGAATGTGTTTGGGTAGTTTAGTCAGTCAAGCATGTGTGTTAGTGTTATGTTAGCCTCAGACACAGCTGTGTGTATTTTGTTATGTTGAAAAGAAACCGACGGACACTGTGACCATGACTAGCCTCTGTACATGGGGCGCGCAACATACTGTATCTGCTAAGCTATCTGGCACCCCTAAGAGCTTCTTTTTTTTTTTTTTTCATATACATGTTGACATTTTGCAGCCTGCCTTTAAAGGTGCTTGTGTGACATGTGGATTTGACTTAGAAAGTCAAAGTCAACTTTACTGTCAATTTCAAAATATGCCAGACATACAGTGAATCGAAATTGTGTTTGTCTCCGTCCCGCGGTGCAATACAACAATGTGCTATTTAAGTAAACAAAATGTGTAAAGGTAAAATGGTAAATAAAATAAATAAAATAAAATTTAAAGAAAAAGTAAACTTGTGCAATGTGCAATGTGCAGTAAACTGAGTGTACTTTTGAATAGTTAGCTTCAGAGTTATTAGTCTAGAGTTCTTGGTGGCAAACGGAGGGGTTTCAACGTCCAGTGTTTGGGGGCAGAGGGGAGGGAAGGAAGAGAGGGGAGAGAGTTAAGCTTCCTGACAGCTTGGTGGAAGAAGCTGTTTCCCAGACTGGTGGAGCCGGCCCGCAGGCTGCGGTACCGTCTCCCCGATTGGCAGGAGGCTGAAGAGGCTGTGTGAGGGGTGGGCGGGGTCACGCACAATGCTGGTTGCTTTGCGGGTGAGGCGGGTACCGTAGAGGTCCAGAAGAGAGGGGAGTGGGACACCGATAATCCGTTCAGCAGCCTTCACTGTGCGCTGCTCCCAAGCCACACAGTGATGCAGCTGGTCAGGATGCTCTCGATGGTGCCTCTGTAGAAGGAGCACATGATGGATGGGGGGCTCGTGCTCTCTTCAGCTTGCGGAGGAAGTAGAGGCGCTGCTGGACTTCTTGGCCAGTGATGTGGTGTTGGTTGTCCAGGAGAGATCCTCACTGATGTGAACCCCAGGAACTTGTTGCTGCTCACTCTCTCCACAGCAGCACCGTCGATGGTCAGTGGGGGTTTAGGAGTGGGGACTCTCCGGAAGTCGACAACAACCTCCTTGGGCTTGTCGACGTTCAGGAAGAGGTTGTTGTCTCTGCACCACGTGGCCAGTTGGCTGACCTCCATCCTGTAGTGCGTCTCATCGTTGTTGGAGATGAGACCAATCACTGTTGTGTCGTCCGCGAACTTCACAATGTGGTTGCTGCTGAAGGATGGAGCGCAGTCGTGGGTCAGCAGCGTGAAGAGCAGGGGGCTGAGCACACAACCCTGGGGGGCCCCCGTGCTCATGACGGTGGTTTTTGACGTGCTGCCGCCGACCCGCACTGTCTGAGGCCTCTCGCTGAGGAAGTCCAGCAGCCAGTTGCACAGGGAAGTGCTGAGCCCCAGCTGGTCCAGTTTGCCGATCAGCTGCTGAGGGATGATGGTGTTGAATGCTGAACTGAAGTCTATGAACAGCATCCTGACGTATGAGTTTTTGGTGTCCAGGTGGGTGAGGGCTGGGTGAACAGCAGAACAGATGGCATCCTCGGTGGATCTGTTACCTCGGTATGCAAACTGGTAGGGGTCCAGGGTGGCGGGGAGGGTGGATTTGATGTGGGCCATGACTAACCTTTCAAAGCACTTCATGGCGATGGGGGTCAGTGCAACGGGTCGATAGTCATTGAAAGTGGATGGTGAGGGCTTCTTTGGAACGGGTATGATGGTGGCGGCTTTGAAGCACGACAGAACAACAGCCTGACTCAGAGAAGCGTTGAAAATGTCTGTGAAGACATCTTTGAGCTCCTCTGCACAGTCCTTCAGCACACGGCCAGGAATGTTGTCTGGACCTGCAGCCTTGCGGGTGTTGATCTTGGAGAAGGTTCTCTTCACGCTGGCTGCAGTCAGGCACATCAGGTCTGGTCGTGGGGAGGGGGGGGTGGTCTTCTGTGGTGGCGTGCTGTTGTGTGCTTCAAACCTGGCAAAGAAGCTGTTGAGGTCGTTCAGCAGAGAGGTGTTGCTGTCACAGGTCTGTGGTTTGGGTTTGTAGTCCGTGATGGTCTGGATACCACGCCACAGGCTCTGATGTCCTTGAAGTGTCCGGTTATTTTTAGTGTGTAGCTGCGTTTGGCTTCCCTGATGCCACGGGACAGGTTGGCCCTCGCTGTTCTCAGGCAGGCTGCGTCCCCAGGTCTGAAGGCGGTGTTCCTGGCCCTCAGTAGCCCGCGTACCTCTCCTGGTTAGCCCGGGTGGTGATGGTTCTGGTGGTGGTGACATCAGCAATGCATTTGCTTATGTAGGAGGTAACAGTGTCAGAATACTCCTCAATGTCTGTGTGGTTGTTGTAGGTGGCTTTCTGCTGAAACATCTCCCAGTCTGTGGTGTCAAAGCAGTCTTGTAGTGCAGCAGAGGCCCCCTCTGGCCACACACATACCTGCTTCAGAACTGGTTTGGTGACTTTAACCCTGGGTCTGTAAGCTGGCATTAGCATTACACTGATATGGTCAGAGTGGCCGATGTGGGGAGGGGTGAAGCTTTGTAAGCTCCTTTAACTGATGTGTAAATCATGTCCAGAATGTTACCTTCTCTTGTGGGAAAGGTCACGTGTTGGTGGAAGTGGGGTAAAACCGTCTTGAGATTTGCATGGTTAAAATCCCCAGCGATGATGAAAAATCCGTCTGGGTGGGCTGTCTGTTGCTCACTGATGGCGTTGTAAAGTTCCCAAACTCTGCCAGCGGTGAACAGTGTTTACATACCACAGCAGCATCTCGACACCAAGCACCACTGATGTAAACACAGACTCCACCACCTTTCTTCTTTCCTCCTTTAATAAGGATTCTGTCCGAACGGTAGCATGTGAATTGTTCAAGCTGAACGGCGGAGTCTGGGATGCGTTCGTTCAGCCATGTCTCTGTGAAAATGTACGCACAGCCATCCCTCGCGTCGCGGTGCGCAGCTCTCAGTAGCTCTATATGATCTATTTTATTGTCCAGAGAACTGACTTTGTTATTGTTACTTTTGCCAAAAAGCCCTACTAGCACCTGGGACTGGAAATTTGATTATACTTTGGATGGAAACGCAAAATAATTTAATTTTAACTTCCATTAAGTTGATTTCCCCCGAAGTGTTGCATTGCATGATAGACAATCTCAGAACCAATCAGTACTCATCATCTATCATCGTCTGATTTACGATATTTGCCTATGGGAACACTCTCCATCATTCTGGTTAAACCAGCGGTTGGCATTGAACGACATTCAGGCAAAACTCTCTCCACAACATCCCGCAGTAAGCTAGAGAGCAGCTTCACTCTGTCTCACTTCAGCCGTATGAGCCCTGACCAAAACAGAAACCAATTTTCCTGTGATTTATTTGCTATTAACAGGAATGAAGTTTTCCGAAATAAAAACATCATGATGCAGATTTGTGAAAAGTCAAAAGTCAAGTTTTGTCAGGTCTGTCGTCAAGAGGAGAAGAAAACAACTGTTTGTTGAATGGATGTGGGATCGGTCACTTCTGATGTGTTTCAGGTTGTCAGGGAATCTCTGATTGGCCTTTACCACACAGCATCAAGCAGATTCCAGTTGAAATGTTTGATCAATGATAAATTGTTAACTGCACTTTAATGCAGATATCTGTTTATAGAGCGAAAGAATCGTCATCAAAACACCCCCGATGGGAGCTGGTATTTCCTTAGCGTTAGGGTTATGTTACTTCTGTCTTTGCCGTCCACACCGACTGTTTTCTCCTGCACACACCAAAGCCTGCTGATATGATAGGTAATTGGTTAATACAGCTTGGACTACAAATGTAGTACAAACAGTAACCAGAACACTTACCATGTTGAATATCTAGACCCCGTGTACAGATTGTATTCAGTTTCTGTGGTCCATCTACAATAGTAGGCGGTGTGTGTATTCTTTCATGTTCTGTCTTTTCCACACAAACACACACTCACAACACGTACCCTCACAGGCATGATATTTAATGTGCGTGTGTGGAGGTTGAAGTTGGAGGAGGGAAAGTGATTAGCGGAGCGTTTCCCACCCTGTAAAACCTTCATGGACAGTTTTATGAGCGTAAAGGTGCGACGCTGAGGAGAAAGAGGAGGAGAAGGGAGGTGCAGAAACCCCCCCCAGAATACTGAGGAGTGTTTCATGATACAGATGTCAGCAGGACGGGGAAGGAAATGTGTTTCTTGTTTGTCTCTTTTAAAGAAAAATCAGCCTGAGACACATGGAAAAGCAAATGTTATAAGTCATATAAATGACTGTTTTTGGATAATAAAGGGCAAACTCAGTTTTTAATGGTTTTTAACATTTGTTCATCCTCCCTGAGCGGCTCTGATATTCAGTCCATAGATTAAAAAAATACATTCTGCAGCTGTTAAGTTATTTCTCATCCTCAGAGCTCATTCTGGGCTTTTCTTATTCACAGGGTAAAGCTAAAGTGTATTTTATCAACTTCAGAAACTCTGCACAGTGAAACATCCCAAAAGATCGATTCAGTGCGCTCAGAGTGCAACTAAAATATTGATGGTGTTCTGCAGAGTTCATTTCCAAAGATACTTTTATGTTGTCGTGGAAGACTTTTAGCTTCAGAAGGTTTAAGCCATCTGTAAAAAAAGAAAACTTCAAGATGAAGTCTGAAATATTACGGCTAAGTTATAAAAGAAAAAAACATATACAGTAGTATATCCAATCCCCGGCTGCCGTCAGTGAGAGCGAGAGAGAGAGAAAGGTAGAATACCTGATCAATGCAGCACTGGATCAATAACTCCGTGTCATAGAAAGTCAAATCTGTGTTTATGTAGTCTGGTGTGAATAACAATCGAAGCCGGTCGGGGACAAACACAACTTTATCTACAATGCAGCCATTACAGCGTTTTTCACGGTTGCAGACTGAAGCAATGTAGCGGAGCAGCTCAAAAATAATGTTGTACCTTTACACAGAAATGTGAAAAAAATGGAAATAAATAAGAAAATGGCTGTTGTTGTTAGCCCTAAGGGTTCATATATACTTAGACCAGGGGTTGTAAAACTTTTTCTGTCATGCCATGCAACATTCTTCTTGCGCGGTGATTTGAAAACTGTGGGTTCCTTATCTGCAAAATACTTTTTCTTTTCTTCACTGAGCCTTTGGGTCTCTGTTCAACACAGCAAAAGTCCCGTTGAAAAAAGTTTTCCCTTGCCACTCCGTTATCACAACAGGTGAGCATGCAGAGATGACAGACCTGCTACATTTTAAGGTGTACAGAGTGAGCGAGATCGATCACCTACTAGTTCATTGATCTTAAATGCAGATCTTAAACACCCCCCCTGCCCCAGATGATAATTAAACTGATGATATCATCCTTTTACGGCTACACCGTCAGTCCAAAAAAAAGCTCATGTTTCTAAAGTTGCTGTGAAGAAGGTTTAGTTTCTTCTCTTCTTCTCCTTCAGGTGTTGAATGGTGAGCAGGTGAATCTCACCTCCTCCTGCTCCATCAGGCCTGTCCTCACTCAGCTCCCTCCTCCTCCTCCTCTTCCCCCCCGGCCTCTGAAGCGCTCATTCAGTTCTCAACCTCCAGGCCGAGTGCCTCTCACCCAGCAGGACGGAGTGCAGAGGATTCTGGGTAATGGATGTGGATTCAGGGAGACTGGCAGACTGACACAAAGTCAAGGGTATCAAGAAGATCAACATTGGCCCTCCTCCTCCTCATGTGGTGTTTCCTCCTCTTCTGACTCCTCGAGACATCAGTCAGCTCCTTCACTCTCCTCCTCTGCCTCTTTTTCTCAGTTTTCCAGCCAGCCTCCTCCCTCACCTCCTCCTCCTTCACCTCGTCCCCCTCTTTGTTCCCCCTCTTCCTCCCCGACTCAAACCCCAGTGCTTCCTCCTCCCAAACTGGTTCCCATCTTCAAGAACAAGTGTCCATCGCGTCGTATCAACGTGGCCCTCCTGAGAGCGCAGAAACAGGGACAGCAGCTGATTGGAGGAGGGGAGGAAAGAGGGCGGGTGACCTTACCTGCTTTTGGGAAGAAGACCCCAACCACGTTTTGTACTTCTTCTTCTTCTTCTTCTTCTTCTTCTGTTTTCTCTTTGTCAGCTTCATCTTGCCCACCTACCATTCCTAGCTTCAAACCTCGCCCTAAACCCAAGAGCAGCGCCTTCCCTCTTCCAGCAGGTTACCCCAAACTCAAACGCCTCCCCAGCCTCAGCCCGGCCTCCAGGTCTAAACCTGCGCTCATCCTCAGTCCAAATCCAGAAATCCAGTACGAAGCCAAGTCCAGCAACATAACCGAAAAGATGGCAAGTTTAGAAAGCAACACTGCAGCTATGTCAAGAGGAAAGGTGCAAGAACAAGCATCAAAACAACCTTCAGCTGCTCCACCTGAGCCTCCTCGACTGCTGACAGCTGCAGAAATCTCAAACAGCAGCACAACAGTGAGTCCAGTTGACCTAATTCTGATTCGTTATAAATGTTAAGAGGTTTTTTTTTTGTTTGTATTTTCCATCATTTATCTTGTGTCTCTTCATTTATTTTAGGTCTTTATAATGATAGGTAGTCTGTGAGTTAGATTATTGGAACATTTTGGTAGAAGAAGGTCTTTTTTTTTTTCAGCTAATAGGATAAATGTTGTTTCGTCAGAGTTAAGACACAGCTGCAAAATGTTTAATTTCTTTATTCCTTATTATTTCCTTTAAGCAGGAACTTTTGATCATCCCAAGCAGTTATCATGTGAAGCTATGTGCTAACTGACCTGCTTTGTTCTTGTGTTTTTCAGGGAGTTGTGTTTGAGTCAAAGCCGAAGAAATCCAAATCTTTGCTTCGAGTTACAGATGTGGAGAAAATGGCCAGGAGCAACCAGGTGAGGGGAGAGAGTAGACTTTACACCTCCGTTGGGTTTGGGTTTGGGGCTCTTAAAGCACACATAATACTCTTTACATTAACTCAGTTGAGCAGTAGGGCAAGCCCATTAACCGGAGCTGCAGCCCCAGCTAGTGGCGGGTGGCAACATTACAGCTTAGACACAACATTTAACCGGTACTGTGGGCCTGAATTAATTATTTTAACCAAACAATAATTCAGATGATGACGACTAAACAAGATGACTGCGTTCAAACATTTTGTCCAGGGGCTCCCAAACTTTCAGCTCGTGACCCCAGAAATAAGGGTGCCAGGGACTGGGCATCCCCACTGTTGAAATTTTTGTAAATATTTTTTACAATTAAGGGAGATATATCATTTTAAATGATCTAAAATTGTTATTTAGTTAGTTTTTATGAAAGGCGTCTTGCAGCCCTGTCTTGGTGGCTCGCAACTCCTCGGGTCCAGACCCTCACCTCGGGATGACACTGATTTAATCATCTATGCATGTCCCTTTATGGCTACCGTACAGAGGATAAGCCCTTCTGATTTAGGCAGCATCATGATTTTTTCCCTTGCGTGAACCTAAAGCAGAAACTGACAACAAATTGTTTTAACCCAATAAATTTAACTTTCTATGTCCAGAAAGCTAAACAGTCCAGGTGATGTCCTGTATGCATCAACTGCACGTGTGAACACATCTGTGGTTTAGGATTAAGAAAGTGTGTTAGTGTTTCTTCACCCTGTCTGTGTTTAAATCAAACTACAATCCCAGAAATATCCCTTGTGTTGTTTCTGTGTGTGTAATAAAGCTTGGAGCCTAAAGGGGACACTCCAGTTGTTTTGTTTATGATATTAAAGTGAAAGAAAGTAAAAGTCCTGGCACTTTGTTTCAGAGAAAAAAGAGACTTTAAAGTGATGAATCTCCTATGCGTCCACTCGTACAGCTTCAGCCTCCTCATAAACATCCTGAAGGAGGACGACATACATTAACGTGATGTATTAAAGCGTGTTAGTGTGATGGATGGCACACACACGGCTCCTCTCCTTACAAACATCCTTCCTCAGGAGGTGAGGACTGCTAAATGATGAATGGGTCAGGAGGAGCTGCGAGCCACAGGGAGCACAGAACATTAATAACAACATTCATCAGTTTTACGGCTCCAACCTGCAAGTTTTCAAGAACAATATATCAGCTACCCTTTCTCTTTTACTTTTATTTACACAGCTTCAACAGCAGGCACTTTGTTCTCCGGCATTTTTAACTCTGTTCTCAATATATAAATATTATTCTACTTATCCTGGAGCTTTTCAGAACAACCAAAACACACAAAATAATACTCCTGAGTCAAACAAACCATTTATCTCTGTGTAAATATAAAATCATTTCTTTCCCAAACATTCCCTCATATAACCTCAGTGAGGGATTATTCTCAACATTGACTTGTTTTTGTCTATGTTCGATGCGTAATGCAAAATAAATACTCACCAGTTTCTCATCTTCCATGACTCATCGGCAAGAAAAAGTCTGTCTGATTGATATCATGCTCGTGCAGCTCTTTTCAGATTGCACCGTGAACTAACTGCTGTGCGTGCATGCATGTGTCTAACCTGTCCGTAAACATTCAAGGAATGTTACTGTGTTAACTTGTCCTGTTGCTGCTTAACAATGTGGCCATATATGTGGGCTGTTAAAGGAGCAGATGTGTACAGTGTAGTGTATTATAAGAGACATGTAGTAGAAGATGGTTACTCTTCAGGTCGGACCATTGACTCTATATTGAAAAGGACAGCGCATCTCATTCTCCTCCGTTTTGAAGCCAGAATAGTCCTGCGACAGGCTGACAGATTGTGCTGGTGACACAATTTAGAACCAAGACATGTGCAGAAGGGAGCTGCCTGATCGAACCACAGAATTGATGCCACGCCCCTTCAGCTAATCGCAGCACACATTTAACTTATCAATAAAACTTTTAAAGGAACCCTCAAGTGGGTACATCCACAGCAAGATCAGATTCTGGTGTCTGTCTGAAGCAGAGACTCTCCCAGTAGTCTGTTGCTCTCTCCATCTCAACATGTAGTCAGTCGTCTGGACAGGTAGCTAAAGAGACTAAGGAACATTTTTAGAAATGGTCAATATGGTTGAATGGTTGTAAATTCAATGTATGCCCCCCTGAACTCTCTTCTACTCTGTCTCTAGGGATAGTGCAATTGACCGGCTTAACGATTTAAGTTGGCATCATCACTAGTCAGCCCAGAAATACATGCTTTTTTAAAACGTGGGCCCACAATGCCAGTTAAAGGTTGTGTCTAAGCTGTAACACAGCCTCCTGCCAACTGTTGTAGCTTCGGTTAATGGCCTGCTCTCCTCACTCTACAGCCTGGATGTAAACCAGCATAATGTTCGGTTGGTTCTCATAAGAGTGGAACGTTTTAGCAGTATGTGATCTAGAAATGGAGATAAAGTGTCAGGGTAAACTGTGAGTCGCTGCATATGACACAACTGAAATACACACAAAGGTGAGACTTCACCCAAGTTTTATATTGACAATTGTGATGCTCCGTCCAGATTTAACTTGAGCACATAAATCATGAGTTGGTGGTTAACGATGAAGTCATACGGTGTGAGCTGACATTCCACCACCACTTCTATACAGTCGTACAGAGTATGCCGGCTTTAGGTGACATGTTTTATTTGACATCACAGTTTCTCGTCCATTATTTTTTTTCTTTTCACCACCTCACTATGTATGAACTCTACATCCCTGCATATTGTTTTCTTTTGTGCCTCTCTCTTCATATTTTCTCTTTTCTCTCTCCAGTTGTTTAAGCTGAACTCTGCGACCCTGCTGGCCTGGTTAAAAGTCAGAGGAGCGACTGTCAGTGCCAAACACAAGAAGGAGGAGCTGATGCTGAAGGTCATGGGCTGTCTCGCCGAGGCTTGAGACCCACACACACACACACTAACACACGCACACACATGCAACCACACTCTGCCCATATCGACTTAATCTACTTACTCTGGAGCATTAATGCTGCTCTAAGCTACTTGATTCAAGATTTGATGTTAAAAGAGAAGCTGCAACAAAAGAGCACTTTCATCCTCGCTAATTAAGATGCTGAAGATTTGCCCAAATTCTAATCTTGTGTTAGATGAAGTCGCTTTGGAGTCCTATAAAGTGAAATACAGACTTCATAAGATTTTTTGCTTTTGTTTGATCAAATTGTTAAGATCTGTGAAAGTGTATGTTGTTCATTCACAAAACGTTTAAGAAAACGTTCTTTTCATTGAAGGAATTCTGTGTTTGTTTTCCTTCTTTCTTTAAAAAACTTAAATCTTCTACCCTAAAGGGGAATTGTTTTTTATGGCCCCTTTTCAAAGTTCAGATTGTTTATTCTAAGTGTCTACAGCCTGTTTGACTGCTGCAGGTAGAATCGCCTACCGGAGCAAAATCAAAACGACTTTTTGTTCCTATAAATTATTTATAACCCCAAATATGTTGAATATAAAAGGCCAAAGATGCACAGACACTGGAGTTGGCTGTAAATAAGTTCTCTACCTCCGATGTTTCAGTTGTTAAAGTCACACTGAAGGGTTGAAAATAGGAAAGTTTAGTTCTGATTCATTGAAGGTGAAAAGATGTATATTTGAATAGAAAATATTCTCTGTTGTGAATTCTTCCACCAATATTTCCTTATTTAAAAATTATTAATACAAAAACGTATGAGCTGTTGTTCAAAAGTATGTTAAAATATATTTATTTATAAAAAAAATGTTGAGAAATTGTAGTGTATTTTTCATGGTTTCAAGTCTCGTTCTTTGTGTGTGTGGGTGTGTGATGTCCCGCTATTGTGTTTTGACCTGTGGGCTGACACGGCCAGTCTTCCAGATGTAGGCTATTTCAGATCGGGCTGTTGAACTCTCATTCTCTCTGATCCACCCTCAGTGTCGCACTCTCACCACAGATCCTGAATTGCATCTCGTTTTGTTGTATTTTGGTAATAAACCTTACATCGTTTAGTTAAAACCGTATGTTTCCTGTGATTGAAACTATTCTTTGTCAGGCCTTAAGGGCTTTAATGACTCTTCCCAGGTCTTATGTATGTGGAAGAACTGCTCAACCTTCCTCTCACAGAGGAGAAGAAGAGTAATGATGGCCTCTTTTGTTTATGTCAATGAAGTAATGTCTCTCAATTTAATATGTGATTTATATTTCATATAAATTAGTGAAGAAAAATGAGAAAGACGGGCTGCCCTCTGTGTATGTGTGTGTGTGTGGACTCAACAAATCTGTCTCTTCCTGGGAACGAGGGTAAAACAACTAAACTTTCTCTGTGAAAACATTCAGAGCTCAGATGATTGGGATCTTTCACTATTTGGTTATAACGACAGAGCTGAGAGATTTTCTCAGTGTAAACAAAGAAATTCTTTGGACTCTGTTTAATGAGACAGGCACTTCTCATGGTATCAGACACGTTATATAATTTAAATCTATAATAACATACTTTGAGTCCTTCTAGGCTTGCTGGAGAGAGAGATGTGAGGTTGTGTTAGGATATAGGCTTTCAGATGTGAATCAGGGGCTTTTTAAATTAATGTTAGTCAGGTATAAAACAAAAATCAGTTTAAAGCTGTGATTGTTGTTGCATTTTAAAAATATGGAAGTTTCACGTTGCAGTGTTACTTTTAATCACTTCCTCTTTAAAAGTCGCTTGTTATATAGTTGATTAATAAATGAGTTGATGTGTATGCTGAGGAGTGGGCTGAGGGGGCTTGAAAAAAGTTGATGTATTACCCTGTGACATCACCCCCCATAAGAAATCAAATGTTTCCCACAATGCAATTTGATAGCTGCCCCCATCAGGAAACTAAATCCTGAGCTGTGGGAGGCTTTTTACACTACAGGAATTCCTTTATGTTAGACACGTTGAGTGTGCGTGTGCGTGTGTGTGTGTGTGTGTGTGTGTGTGTGTGTGTGTGTGTGTGTGTGTCCAATCAGATTCTCGTAGGTGAAGTCACTGTCAGCTGTCAGGCGTTACATCAATTATTTTGCTGGATATCAACATCTGGCTCCATCCCATGAGTCACATCAAACATGTGAGAGATCCTTAAACACACACACACACACACACACACACACACACACACACACACACTCACACACACACACACACACACACACACCACACACACACACACACACTCTGTATATATATCAGCTTTCAGCTTGGAGTTGAGTGTTACAGAAACCTCTCTTGTGTTAAGAGGCTCTTTAGGTGGAAAGATTGCACTAAACTGAGTGATCTGGGCTCTAAATCACTTCAAGAGCTCTTCCAATGTTCTGAAACAATCAGGAAATTCTCTGAAGAAACACTGATGAAACTCTAAAGTTTATTATTAGATGATCCCAGTCAACTGATTTACTAGTCAGTCCAACAGAAAGTAAAATCACTGAGTGTGGCTAACGTTAGCAGTGCGAGCACGGCCAGCCTTCAGACATGCCTGCTCCCAAGGAGCCTTCAAAAGATTTAATATAGATTCATTGAATTAATTGAAGTTAAGGTTAGGAAAACATTTTTTTTTTTAGCTGTGAGAGATCTTTGACTAGGAAAATACGTTTTTGTAACCTACACTGTCTAGTTAGTATTTTATGTTTTATTATTATTGTTCTCTGTGGATTTGCTCTTATGAGTGACAACTCAAAGCATTTAGAGCAGTTTATAATGTACGCATTGACAAACCATGAAGGGACGAGAGAAGGAGAAGAAGATGGTAAAATGCAAGCTCAAGAAAATGTGTCTTCAAGATGAAAGTGACGGCTAATGGATGGCAGGGACAATTATTATAAGGTGACCTGCAAGATATTCCAAGTGACTTTAAACTTGGGATAATGGGAATCAAAGCCCACATGAAGTCAAAAAATGTGCAGAATGTTCCTTTGTTTGGGTCTTAAAAAGTCTTCAATTTGATCTTTAAAGAGTGCAGAAACCCTGTTACACTCTTGAGGCACACAAAGAAAAAAAAAAATCAGTCACCAGTTAGTGTTCTGCTGCGGTTTGTTCTGAAGGTCTGGTGCTGGTGGTGGTGGGTGGGGTGTTTCATAAGCTGTGGGATTTATCTTGACTGCCTCCTTTTTTATTGCCTAATTCCTGAATCCTCGAGTGGAGAAGTTGGCGAGCCTGCAGAGAGGAGAGACTCAGTCCAGATCCTGCACAAAGACTCTTTTGTTTCCATGGGACAGAAACCAGGAGAAAGTCAGAGTGATGGATATGAACTAGCTAACTGTCTGTGTGTTGTTGTTTGATTCATAGTGTTTTACCGAGAGTTAGCGGTCAAACTGAAGGTCCTGTTTTCTAAAAGGTTGAACGCTTTAAACCATAAATATCAGTAAAGGTTAATGGGGAGAAGTGCTGCTCGTTAAAAGTTACTCTGATAGAAGAGAGAGCTGCAAATCAGCAGGACAGGAAACAAAAGGAAAGATGTTCACACCTTGAGAACCAAGGAAAACTTTGGTCAGACTTCTTGTTTTTGAAGTGAAGCTCACTACACGAGTACTGCCAATGTGCCCTTGAGCAAGGCACCTAACCCCAAACAGCTCTGCCCCGCTCCCAATGTAGCAGTGTGTGATTTGGATTAGATGGAGGAGAAGAAGAGGAGTGAAGGGGAAGCAAACACTGCTTTATACATTTATAAATGAGGCCTCTTTTCTTGCTTCCTCATTAAGAAGCTTCTGAAGCTTCCTGCACACATGTTGCTAATTGTATGTAAATAGGAATATAAATATGTAAATATATACAAGCAGGTCGGCGTGATATCATAAAACCTTGCAGAAAAGTATCTATAATGATTGAGAGGCACAGTGAAAACAATAATGAGACCACAGAGTCTCTCTCTCGCTGATAAAAATGTTGAATCTGAAACCGGGTTTTGATTTTAGAAACAAACTCTGCCGTCTGAGAACTGGTTTCTTCCCCTTACTGTCTGTGCTGGACGACGGTTTTGTTTTATACATGCACGCCTCGCCTCAAAGCTCACATGCTCTGCAGGCTCTGAGCTTCATCACTGAATTTTAAAGCCTTCACTCATCAATGTTTCCTCTATGCATGTGTTGGATGGCCTTCTTTGTCCACACGTAGACTTACATTTTAAAAACAGAGTCTAGGTCAGCTTCCTTCATACCCTCTGACCATCATCTGTCAGAAAGAGTAAAAGGGGGCGCTGATGGTGCATTGGTAAGTCCGCGCGCCCCATGTATGGAGGCTGTAGTCTTCCAAGCGGGCGGCCCGTGTTCAAACCCCACCTGTGGCTCCTTCCCCACATGTCATTCCCCACTCTCTATCCACTGTCATATCTCTCCATTAAAAGCCCACAATAAATCTTTAAAAAAAAAAAAAAGAAAGAGTACAGGAACGTATAATCTTCAGTCCCAGGAACTTCTCTTCCTGCCTGTTCTAAAAGTTTTGATAGTATGTAGGATGCGATTTCAAAAAAAGTCTGCAGCTCTGTTTATTTGGAACCAATCACAAAAAGACCTGGAACTTAACGAGCTGCTGATTGGATGATTTTTTAAATTACTTGTACATCTGATTGTTGATGTTTTTATTTAATTTGATTTGGACTTTGATCTATTTGAACAAATATTTGCTGTTAATCAACATTTTGCGCTGTTACAGAAGCGTGAATATTTCTTTTCAAAGGATGCTCGTGTGAAAACGGCTTTTTGCCTCCATGTTTTCTCTCCCTGACTAAATCTGCTGCTTTTGTCCCCTGACATTTCACTCCCAGACGTTCCCCGTGCTTCTCCAGGCGATGATTTGTCCCTCTTTTATCCGTGCAGCAGTTTTTTCTTTCCCGGAGACAATCGAGCTGTCCCCACAGGTCTGACACAGATTCATCCTCCTCTTTTTCTTCCTCCTCCGTCCTTTTCTCGTCTGTTTACGCACACGAAGAAAAGACAAAAAACGAGGACAAAGGGTTTCCTGACAACCGAGAACAAAGACAGAAATCTCTCGTTTGTTGCTCCTTTCATGCTCACTGTGTGTGTGTCCGTGGACTCCACCTTCTCGTGAAAGTGAACCTGGTGATTTCGGGCCTTCCTGGA